AAAAATACACATATCTTTGCTTCCAGAATTTTTCGACGCCATATTTGGCAAGCCTTATAACAAAGTCAGCAGATGGCACCACGTGTAAGCAATCTACGTATAAAAGTTTTAAAAATTTACTTTAGAGAATAAAATTACTGAATTAACTGCTTAAATAAACATTAATAATACTATATTTTATGAAAAATAATATTTTGCTACACGAATAATGACTTTAATCACTTCAGAAACACTAACTGCTTTTTTTTGCATGAAAAAAGGGGGGGGGTGAAAAAAAAGTAACCCTAAACTACGTCAAGTAGCCACTCCCCATGACATCCTTTCGAAAAAGCAACTGTCAAGTGACCTTGAGATCAGCTGACTGTTAGTTTTTGCTTGAATTTTAGAATGGCCGGAAGAATTACTTGCACGTCAGCTGTGGAATGGGGGGACAGGGAGGGACTATTTTTAGCACTGTTAGTGGGGTTATTCCGCAAAAGTGGTCTTCAAACTTTTTCTACTCACAGAACCCCAAGAACACGTGTGGCCAAACTCTTTGGTGAGAGTGCCACAATTTGATAAAAAATAATTACGAGGGCCGCTTCTAACATTCCCATTAAACAAATATGGAAAAGTAAAAAAATGTTACTTATAGGCTTATTGTGGAATTTTTATGCAAATAGCACATTTTTTTTAATGCAAGAAATTTAAAAATAAGATGAAGTGCAAATTTAGGTTTTATTGTTAATAAACTTTTTACAGGTTAAGTTAGGTACAAAATAAAAATGAGTAACTTGAAACGTATAATTTCAAATAATTATTAAACAATTAGTATTTAATTAATGTGGCTTTTGAATTATTTTTTTTTTCTTTTTACCAAGTCATCTATATTAGGATTAACTTTTGCAGATGCTAACAAAATTAGGTTACTATAGGTGCACATCAGCTAGTTATATGAGTAATATTTATTTTATTATGTTCACATAGCAGAAAACATTTACCGTAAAATCCGGCGTATAACGCGCACCTATACTTTCAAGCTGATTTTTTTTAATTTTTAGGTATATTTGCCGTATAACGCGCACCCCCCTTTTTAACAAAAATATCTGTTGACCCGTTTGTCTTTCTTCACTGTTCAAAGACGAATATTCCTCATCGTACATTATGCAAGAAAAAACTTATACACTCTAGCTGTTATTGTGTTTCCTTTAGCTGTTTGAAAATAATTTCTACTCCTCCCAAAGAATTTTTTTTCCTTCTTTTTTGTCATCTCAAAGAATCAGCTAGTCGGCTACTTCATATTTTTAAAATCCAATAATTTGTATTGATTTATAAAAGAGTTACACTATGTAAATTAAATATCTTCAATGAACGCACAATTCAAAAATTATTCGTAACATAAAAATACTAACATAATATAAAACTAATAAAGGCTGAAATCTGATTATAACAAAGTGTTGCTTTATACATCAGTATATAATTTCATTAATTCAAGTGATTAATATACATTAATTGAACGTACGTAATGTATATGTATATATATACTACGTTATTTTATTTAAAAGACCAATTTTAAAAATGAAACTTTATAAATAATTAATTTAAATCCTTTTTCTTAGACATGATCCATAAAAAGATAATTACATATTTGTCAACAAAATTAAACCTTAATCACAGAACAGCTAACCATGAATTGCAGTACCAATAGTGTCAAAGTGATGTATGACAATTAGACTTATTCTATGGTGCATATATAAGGTAAAATTCAAGTTTTGATTCATACAGTTATTGATTTTAGTAACAACTATAATAATGATTTATTATTAATGCCATTATATATACATTGCAGTCAGAGATATTAGCTCCTATATGATATAATTACATGTTAAAACGATTTTTGTCTCATAGAAAAATAAAAGCTATTTTACAACCTTCTTCAGTTGGAAAAAAACGTATTAAAAATTTTGAGATTTACTGACATTATTAGTTTCTGTTTAACGCCTTTACAAATTTTAAATGTGTTTTTCTCAGATTTTCATTTTGGAAGATATGAAAGGGTTTTCTATTCAATAATTTTTTTTCTTCTGTTCAAGATAATTTTGAAATTTTTTGAAGATATATATATATATATATATATATGTATGTGTGTGTGCGTGTGTGTGTGTTCTATAAAAGTTTTATATAAATTTAGATCTGAGAACTCTAGCTAGTTTTTTAAAACATTTAAGTTAATATTTTAAAAATGTTCATATTTCTTCCAGGTTTCCAAATTTAACAATATTCATGCTTTTTCTCGGATGATCTGTAAGAACAATTATTAAAATTCAACAACGAAACAGGTTTTTAATTCCATACCAACTTAAGGAAGTGTAATAAAAAGGAAGCTTAATTTGGAAAAGAATTCGATGAATATAATATAGTCGGCCCTCCATTTTGCGAACCTCAATCGTGCGAATTTCTCTATTTCGCCAACTTTTTCCTGGAACCAGGAACATTTTAAGATTTTCTTTGTCAAATAACCTCCAAATAGCTAAGTGCATTTTCCATTTATTGAACTTTTTCTCTTGGGATACGATTTTTTTTCACTGTTTTTGAAATATTTCTAGACCTACGTGTAATGTAATGAGCAAGTAAAATCATTTGAAGCGATTTGATTTGAATTGTGCGAAAAAAATACGCCTGATTAAATATTTCGTGCACTGCAAAGATGCGAGGAATGAGAGAAAACTTTTTTTTTTAATTTTAAAACGCGAAAAAACTCAAACACAAAATTAATACACTTAACAAGTAGTTAAATTGAAGGACACGCATTCTTAAAGTTACTGGTCATAAAATATGCATGTTTAAAATTACTTGTAGGCTTAATATTGAAAACTATTATTAAATTTTTCGTCAATCATAATACAAAGTACTTTTTTTAAAGTTGGAAATACTGTGTATTTCTTGACAAAGTTGTTTCCTCCCCCCCGCTTTCCTAGCTGAATTCATTTTGATAGGTAAGATACGTAAAAAAAAATGTGTGTGTACTTATGTACGCACGTAAGAAGTTATACTTCTTTGGCGTAACAAGATTAAAATCTTTCTAAAAATCTTTAGCAGGGCAAGCTAGACCAAGGACGAAAAGAAGTCCCAAGCAGAGTTGAACGATACTAACCTTCGGTCAATCGGACCAGCCAAACCAGAGATAATCACGATTTAAATAAATTTAAATACCCCCGCACAGGGACAATAGGACCAATAACATGGGGGGTATCAGACTGTATCTGGAGATGAAAGGAACCGAATGTGACAACTGAGACCTCATATTGAATGCCTCGGAGGGAAGAATCCTTCCTGGGAAATTTAAGACATCCACCTGAAAAGCCCCCGAGTTATGGTCATTTTAAAATAATTAAAACATTTAAAACAAATAAAATAGTAGCAGGACACCCAGAAACTCAAACCTGGGACCGGTTGTTAGCAAACACATGAGTAATCATTAGAACAGGTCTGGAGTCTGTAGTTGCAAACGGGGCAACGCTAGCTTGGAAAAGGAAAACGAAACTAACTCCTCCCACCCCCAGGTTGGAATAAATATGACGTAAATGGTCACTACATCCCAACGATACACAGAGTAGTAGTTTATCCCAAAGTTTCATCCTTTTATCTCTGTAATATCGTTACGTCATCAAAAGATCGAACCCCATAGGAATAACAAAGAGATTCTAATTTTAGTGATAAGGCCCCCTCTAAGCCCACTATCTACACACGAATTATAAGAGATGAAAGAGCTCAACAAGGAGAACCTATGGTCCGAGTTTCGTTAATGAATCTCAAGAATCCTTAGAGCTATGTGTGATTTAAAGAAATTATAAAATAGTTTTAAAAGGTTAAATATGGGTAAAGAAATGGCGCTACGGTCCTGAAAAAATATATCTAGCTCATAGGAAGAACAATCGAATCCAGCCAGTGCAGTCGATCAAGATGGCATAGGATTGGAGTTATTACTGGGGAAGCCCTATGGGGGGGAGGGGGCCAATTCAACGTAAAGCTCGCGCTAATACGAAAATATGGTGGGCCTCCAAAAATCAAGTACCAAGTTCAAATCCTTAGTGGGGGTGAAATTTTTCCAGTCCCCATAGGAGCATGATATTATAGTGCTTAAGCCCTCCCCATGCCTACACAATGAGAATGAAGCAGATGACTGGAGGAATCCCGACGTGTAGAATACTTGGTTCAAATCTAAAGAGCCAAGATATTGTAAATTTAAACAAATTAAAAAAGTTTAAGACAGTTAAAAACTATGGAAGAAATAGCCCTATGAGCATGAAATTATAATAACTAGAAGAGCAGTAAGAGAGGGATCGAATGAGCCAGGTCCGAATGGACCGGAATATTGGTCAAACTAACTCTCGGGGCCGAGATATTGGCCAAAAAGCTGTGGAGGAGGGGGGAATGCGTCCCAACAGATATTTATAACAAAATTTATTATGATCCCACAAATAACAGTCTCATAGCACCAAAAAGTGGCATGTTAAAATATTAGACAACGGTATACGCACGCGCATCGGTGTCGTGAAGGTATGCGCACGCATCCTTGATGGTGTGCGCGCATCTTAAAAAGTTACCCTCATCCTTTTTCTCTAACCCCTAAAAAGAAGTATAACTTCAAAAATAAATATACGAATACACACACACACACACACACACACACACAAAAGGCTCTTATAATTTACTACAATGTAATAAATGTGTTTATTTTCATAGCAATGCGTTCATAGTAAATACATCTATAATCATACACTTGCAAGTTATTTGAATTGGCTTATGTTTTATGTGTGTGTGTGTGTGTGTACATGAAACACAATTTAAAGATCACTTTATTAATTTTTTTTTTTTTAATTTTCCAGTAAGTATGTTTGGTTTAATAATAAAAAGTGTTCAAACAAACGCATCAGAAAAGCTCTGTAGGCGAAGGATGATCTTTCCCTAGTAGTAGTGACGTCACAAATCAGGGCAAAGCAAAGGTTCGCACAGACACGGGGGGTATAGCTCTGTAGTAGAGTATTCGACTAAAAATCGAGAGATCCTTGGTTTAAACACGGGTGTCTTCTTCAGGGAAGTGAAGAGAAATATGTTTTTGAGGATTTCGAAGGCGGGAATGATCTGTCCCGTTCTGTATATTTCTAATCAAAGCATTTTCGTATCCGTTCCTATGGAACGCAAAGCAAAGGTTAGCTGACGCGGGGGTATAGCTCAGTGGTAGAGCATTCGACTGCAGATCGAGCGCTCTCGGGTTCAAACTCGGTTGTCTCCTTCTACAGGGAAGTGAAGAGAAATATTTTTCTGAGAATTTCTAAGGCGGTAATGATCTGTCCCGTTCTGTATATTTCTTGACAAAGCGTTTTCGCATCCGTGACGGTGTGCGCACGCATCGTAAAAATTTACCCCTCATCCTATTTCTCTAACGCCCCAAAAGAAGTATAACTTCAATAAATAGATATTAACTTACAAAAAAAAGAAGGTGTGTGAACAATTAATTTTATAATAATGTATAGTTATATGTGAATTTAAAATTTGTTTTTTAAGTGGTTTTTTTTAAAACTATATTGAAAGATAAATCACACCATTTCACGAAATTTTCCAAATAACGAAATTTTTTTCAGGTTTAGCGACGACTGTAATTTAGTGAAATTTTTGTCATATTATCAGGCGCATCAAAAAGAATAACATTAATTTGTAAAACAAGAAATAGATGTGTTTGAAAACAGATTTATACAAACTATTTGTGAAAAAATTGCTCTTGGTTATTTTCTTAGAAAAATAACATTTTCTTGTGAAAGATTCAAATTGAAAATGATTATTTTCCTGATGAGTATTCTTACATAGAAATTTCAAATACAATTTGTATCTAAGATATGAGCAGAAAGAAATTTATTACATACCTATCAAACAAAACAAAAAAATTGAATTAAATACGCTAAGACAAATAAAAAAGATATATCTACAAAAATAAAACTGGAAGTCTATCAAACCCTTCATCCAACGATTAAAACTCTTTTTTAAATTCCATCTTTATTCTTAACTCTATGGGCAAAGTTTATGATACCCAAGAAAATGTAAACGTACTTGTTCATTCACTCGTGGATATCCCAAAATATTTGCACGGATTTAAATAAAAAATAAAAATAGACTGCACTCCCATTTCGGTGTCAATTCTAAAAGACAGCACTTTTACAAAACTTTCTCTTCCCCTTTTCCACCCATTCAACCAACACTGCACCCCGTTGTCCTCACCATTTGATTATGGTTTTGAAAAGTTTGTTTATTTTATTGCAACTCTGCGCATGCGTTCTGAAAACGACTATATCTTCCAATCATTTCCTAACCACACCCCTTTGCTATAGTAACAAAGGGTTATCTTTTTACAAACATTATCGCTTTGACGTCATCCGAGTTGCAAACAACGCCATCTGTTGGATAAAGGTAGTTTTTGAAAATATGGATGCTGGCCTTAAGAGTATTTTTGTAGATTTAGCTTCAACGTATGGTATTATTGAATTCAATATCATTTGTATGGAGGGGGGCTTGATCAAAATTATGATTGAACATTGGATCGCAACTATTTAAAGTTTGAGAAGCACTGGTGGAGATTTTAGGGCCTTACATACAGTAACTAAGGTACCTGCTTTCCCTATGAATAATGTGCAAGAGCTAATCTTCATAGCAGTGTCAGCGCATTGGTTGACTAGTTTAGAGCTTTTAAAAGGGTGATGGCATGTAAAAATGGATGAGGGGAGTAAACCATTGACGACATTTACCACACCTAATCCTATGTACCAATGGAAAACTATGTCCTTTGTACTTGCTGAGGCATCTGATACATTTCAAAGAGAAATGAATCGTGTCTTAAAATCCCATTCGGAGTATGAACAAGCGTGAATGTGAATGATGTAGTAATATTTTCAAAGACGTCTGAAATATTTAGTTCACTTAGAATTAGTTCTCACTGAGTTAGAAAAACTGGGAGTCACGGGGAGGTTGGAGAAGTGTTCTTTCGCGGCCAAAAGAATAAAATATTTGGGTCACGTAAAGGGGGGAGGCAAACATGGTCCTGATGAAAATAAAAATATGAGCAATAAAAAAACTAATTAGACCTACCACTAAGAAAAAGGTTAGGTCAGTGTTAAGACTAATGGGTCTCTATCATGCATTAATATCAAATTATGCGGAAGTATCCATTCCGTTGGCGGACTTAAAGAAAAATAAGTCCAACGACGTTTCAAGGGCGAGAGGCTGAGCAAAACTCTTTATGTATGCTAAAAGAATTACTTTGCGAGGAACTAGTCTTGCTACCCCTGATATATATGCCAATTTACCTCTCCAGGTGCAGTGTGATGCATCGGATTATGTTGTTGGATGCTGTCTGACACAGTAAGATACTAAGGGAATTTATAGGCCAATAGCTTTTGCTAGCCAAAAATTCAATGCCACGTAAAAGAACTGGACAAGCATCGAGAAAGAGACTTGGGTAGTGTTATACGGGTTGAGTAAGTTCGGCAAATGGATTTATGTTGCCAAGTTGGAGATCATTTCTGATCATAATCCTCTTAAGTACTTAAATCAAACGACTCCCAAGCTAGCTTGTTGGGCACTGGCGTCTCAGAGTTGGAATCACTCCATCACTCACAGGCCAGAAACACAGCATAGGAGTGCAGACGCATTGTCTAGATTAATATAATGACTGTATGGTATATATTTAGTATTGTATTTTTGTATAATGTACTTCTTAATATCTTCTTGCGATGTCTCCCAAAGTGTGGAGATAAAGAATTGAATTTCCACGTAACTCCTACGTTTTCTAAATAATTCATGAATTAATTAGAAGCCCACTTCCGTAACTTTCTGCAAGCACCAATAAAAATCATCCCAGAGTCCCTGTACAGCTCTTCAAGCCTTCCTCTCCTTGCGAAGAAGCATTTAAGGACAGCAATAAAGAAATTTGCTGTCAAATCTCCAACGAATTCGAGATGAACTGCTTTGGTGATGAAACACACAAAAATGCAGGCATAAGTCTTCAAAGCCCGAACACCTCTTCCTTTCCTTGGCTTCACTTGAAACGGCCCAGAAAAGTCCACTCCTGATTTAGAGAAGGTTTTACCTGGATTCACTATTGATACAGGAAGATCTCCCATCAACCGCTGCGAGAACACACTTTTGTGTCTAAAACAGGTGACACATTTTCTTAGGACTTTTCGAACAACCGTTCGAGAACTAATGATCCGTTATTGCTTCTTTAGGGATGAAAGCAATAATTCCGAACCACCATGAAGGTATTTGTGGTAATAATGTCTCACTATCAGTTCAGTGATGTAGTGCGATTTAGGAAGAATAATTGAATGATTTGTCTCTTTTTACGTAAATTCACATTTCTCAGCCTTCCACCAACTCTCGGGATACTTTCTTTATCTAAACATGGATGCAACATTATGCGCTTACTCTGAG